AACATTAAATGTTAAAACCTAAATTATTCAATATTTTTTTGTAATTAATACTTATGGAAGAAATCGCAAAAAAAGATTATTGTCATGACAATGATGCATATTGCTATGATCTTTACCTAAACCATATCATTACAAAAAAGTATACTGGAACGCGTATAACGGAACCGATCTCGATTACGTGTGTGATTACGAAGAGTGAAAGTGAAAGATGGAAGTCGTTTCGCACTGTAGTCCACGTGGATCTGAACCTCAGGCAGATTTTCGAAGGCAAGGACGGTTAAGTACCGCGGTTGCTGATCTCCAGAACGGATGCCGAGGCCAATAATCATTTATCGTGAAAATTAGTGTCTTAATATTGTGTAACTGTGATAAAAAAGAAATATATCTAATTTTATGGTTTAAACATGTGCTAAAAAAATGGAAGTTGATGATAAAAAACTGAAATGATCGAATCAGTGTTCTATAACAATTTTTTAATTTTAATTACAAATTTTATAATAAATTTGCAATAGTTTTTTCATTGATAAAAGTGTTTATATATATATATATATATAAAAATAACTTTTCGACTTATTTTTTGTAAATAGAATTTTATAAAGATAAAAACAAGACTGTGTTTTTTGATTAATTTCCGGTAAATTTTATTTTAATAAAAGTTCTCGTTTCATAAAGTTTAATATTATAATATTGATAAAAAGTTAAGATTATTTAAACTTAAGATTATTGATTGTGAAACACCATTAGTTTTAATGAACTTTAAAATCTCTTGATAAAAATTTTTTTGATAAAAATCATGTTCTTTAGTTTCTATACTTCGTTTCTTCATATAAAGAATATTATAAAATGCAAGAAGGTGAAATTTATATCTAAAAATAGTTCGGGGTCCATCAAAATTCGATTGTGTCCAGTAAGATGTCCATTTGAGCACGATTCAAGTGTTTCACTTAAATCGTTTCACGTATGCCCGCATTTTCGCAATCGATAGAAATCTTCGCTCGATATATTATACTTCGTGGAAGTAGAAAGTCTTATGACTTTACGTGGGCTTGTGCATGGCATGTGCAGTTCAGGCTACTACAGTACGCTTCAGAAATTACCGCGACGTAATCAGTCACTAAAACTCTTGACTAATATTATTCAATAATCACTAATATTAAACATTATGCAACTATATGACTCGCAAATTTTCTTATGAGTGAGCCGCTATATTAGTTATCTAAAATAATTAACTAGCTATAATATTTTGCAAATATTTTATACATTTAGCAACTTCTTGCTGTCAAAACGTCGATCATCTATAATTTCGTAAAGTGAAACGTAGGGAGTCTGAATTTTGGAAAATCAATTATTCATTAGGCTCTATTATTTCGCAATATGCACGATTAAGTTTATATCATTAATTCACGCGTTACACGTTCGCGTCACGTATTGTGAAGAGGTCGAAATGGATTGTCGAAATCTTCGAATGACCAGGAGCGAATCACTGGTATTGGCCGATAGTCAGGCTCGATCAGCGACGTGGGCCATCGACCAGCAACAGTCAGACACTGCAATCGCCGTGTTAGGTCGAAGGGAAACAATTTTTCGAACAATCGTGTGTGAAGAAAGGATAGAAACTACCGTTTTGTTACCACAAACCATGAGTGACGCATAAACTTCCCAGCGGAAAAGGTTTCGGAATCGAGACTCTCTTGCGTAAAGATTTGAAATTAATACCGCTTCGAGATGCACTATAAAACAGTGTGCTTATAAATGTTGAAGAAGGTAGCATGCTAAGTGATTGAATAATTTTTGAAGAAATGTATGTGGGCTTAAAGAGAAGAAATGTTTTAGAACGTGTATCTGGATTTAAAAGCTATTGCTGTTAATGTAAGTCAACAAATATAAATTTATTGCTTAAAGGCATAAATTATTTTAATTTAATAAGTTATTTAATAAATTGTGAAAAGTTAAATAAAATCCTTATTTAAAAATTAAAAAAAATTTTAAGTTTTTAAAATCACACACACACACACACACACACACACACACCAAATTATGTCTCTTCAAGAAATATCGCATGTAATTGATACTAAGTAATGGATCGTATTACGTACTAGCGTTTTGTTCCTCGAACTGCAATCGGTAATTTTCTTGTTGCGATTTTACTTTGGCGGATACTTTCCTTATTTCACTAAATGATGACAGTCAACTTATGTAATAACTGCTGAATCTTTTTTGTGCAGTCATCGTTCAACTCTCACTGCGTGATATTTCTTCGGTCCTATGAAATGTAATTTTACGAACTACTGTCTGTTATGAGACATTCTTTATACGTAATATACATAATACTTAACATACGTAATATCTTATATTTTTGTTATAATGTATTAAAGTTCAAAAAATGGTTATATTATTCAATGTCATTGAATAATGCAACTATCACCTATTCTTAAAGACATTTTAATAAATGTAATATATTCTTTTAAAGATTTCGTTTTACAAATTTAAATATATCTTAGTTCTTTTATTAAAACCGTGTTTTTCATTAATCTTCTCTGCAGACACATATTCTTAATCCAACGAATATTTTTTTGCAGATGTATATGTCATCAATCAATTCCTTTGCAGCCAACTGCTTGCTTCTTTGCTTGATCAGTCCATTTTATAACAAAGCTGAAAAGTCAGACTGGATCCCTTATGAGATCAATGATTCTGCGCATTACAAATTTCGATCGATACAGCCAGAATCAGTTCCCTTGGAAGAACAGTTCTGGCCCAATGTCCCAAAACATCCACAATACGATGTTTATCATCCTAAGCATAATTCAATGCACCCTGGGATACTTTTCAAGGCTCGCTACTCTGAAGACAATGTAAAGAAAAATATAGCAAGATTTATGCCAGAATATGAGTTAGGAAAAATCTACAGACCGTACTATGATTCTCAATTTGTTAGAAATCAAGGAATTCCTAAAAAAGAAAGCACTGCACGATTGGAGCGCGAAAAGACTCGAAAAATCGACGAAGAAATAATGAAAAAAATGAGCTTGTTAGACAAAGTGTTATCCGAAGATACCAACAAGAATGACATCGAGATGATGAACACCATTGAAGACGAAATCATTACGGAAATGAACATCTCTGAAGAAACGAAAAGAGTTGTTAGACAAGTTCGTAAGGAGCGGCCCGGATTCTTTTGGACCTTGGCGAGGCTTGCCTTCCAGGTACGAATTTTAATATGTTTCGAAAATAATTTCCTCTGAAACTTCTGAAACGTAACATAATATTTAAAAAAGAATACAAATTAGTAATATTTATATTTTACCAATTCAGCTTCTCTTAAAAAAAAGTTTTTTATGTAAAAAAATATATAACATTTAAAAAAAATCTTTTACAATATTTTGTGTGTATACATATATATAAATAATATCTTTTTTAAGTGTCATATATACGAGAGAGAGAGAGAGAGAGAGAGAGAGGGAGGAAGAAAGTATTACTACTTTTTATTATATATATATGATGTGTAAATCATATTTTATTATGTATATGATAAAATTCTATGATGCGTATTAATTGCAAAATTTAATTGTAGACATAGTTACAATTATCTGTCAGAATAGTAGAAGTATCTATAGAATATCTCAAATACAGCAAGCAATTTATTTTCAACAAATGTTGATTACCATTCAGATCTAATTTTATTGGAACTAAAAATTTATTGTAAAAAAAATTTTTTTTAATTTAATTCATGTGTACTTTAATAAATAATTCAAACTAAAAAAATTAATGATTTTCAAAATTCAGCTATTATTCCAACATATACATTATTATTATGTACATCAAATTTCAGATGATGTAGATAAAATTTATTTATTATTTAAAATAATTTCAGCGAATAATATCTTCAAATTTGATGTACATTACAATGTAAGCAGGGTCTGAAGGGATTAATTTGATTTCTTCTTATTGATAACATTGGAAACATACATATTTTGTTCTCCATCGAGCTTTAAGCTGAAAGAGAAAGTGGAAGTTTCTCTTCGGTCGATTGATGACATTTTATTTCAGACGTTCAATGATACACGATCGGCGATTAAACAAATTAGTAGTATCATTAATCAAAATATCGAACCGGATCCAACTACACGATGACCAGTCAATAGTCATTCGTTGGTAGTCGCCAATACAACAACAGTTGCACCGACGAATGAACAGAATAATACGTCTAGCGATATGGAAGGCGTTAACGCAACGACGACAACAACTTCGACCACACAAGCACCTTTCAGACTCACACCAACCAATCTGCAAAATTTGATTAGAAGAAATTTGCGTGGTTTAGTGAGACTTTTCAATATTGAGTGGCAGGAGGCCCTAAATGTGAGTTTTTACTATATTCCCTTTCTTTGCTAATTTTTCTTTAAATATATCTTCTACATATTGAATTGTTTAATAATGGTATTACAATCTTACAATAAATTATTTGATCTTTCAGCAATCAGACATAACTGTAAAGGAGTTTCAAAAGGATCTTGGGAATCAAGTAAGCGGTTTCCTACAAGACAACCCAAACGCTTTTTAAAAGCAACGAAGATAACATCACGAAGAAGAATTAAATAGATAAAATAAACATCAAATCAAAAAGTTCTGAACTGTAAACAATATAGTAATCCATTTATAACAAACTGATCCATAATTTAGCTGAAGACTTTTGTCTGAAAATTTCTAATGATATTTATATTTTTAATAATATATTTGCATTTTGTTGAATATTTTATACAATAGCTCAATTTTTAAATAGAAGAAATAGATCTAAGCACACAAAGACAGTTATATCTCCCTTCATTAAAATTCATCGTATAGTTCATTATAAATGAACTGTATTAGATATAATACGTAGATAAAATGCATTTATTAGATATAATACGTAGATAAAATGCACATTTAATATTTCTTCATTTCTTTATTACATTATCATTCAAATTAAATGAATCCTTTATAAATGTACCAAAGTAATAATAATGACATAGTTCCTACTATTTTCGACTCAGCCATTTTAAGACTTTTCAAATTAATCTGTTCACCAAATTACAACGTTGAATAGCCGAAATTATGCTCTAGCTCTGCGGACGATTTCATCATAGGTTAACGTTCGTTTTATGTCTGCGGTATATATCAACTTACACAATCATTTTTGGCACTTAACCCACGCCTGAATTTCGTAAGTGTAAGATAAAAAAAGGAGTGGATAATTTATTCGAATGATTGGTCAGTGTGAAAGAGAATCCGGAGATTGCGACTGGTGTGGCATGATTGCAGTAAGTAGAAAGCACCTTCTTCGTTCGAAGAAACCAATGCGAATTTGCAAATCCTTAAGCCGGATTGGTCGACGATTCGTGTGGGATTCAGCGACAACCCTTATAGATCGATGAAGCAGATCCATGAGTCAATCGTACCTGTGTCGACTTGAGTTGAACTCGTAGAAGCCAGTCTTGCGCGCAATTTACTTCGAAAGGATGTTTTGGTGCTACAGCTTTCTGACATTTCTTCTATTGGGCAACACATATGGTGTAAGTTGTTTTGATAAAAAATACTATAAATAAGAGAAAATAAAATTAACATGCCAAAGGTTTAAAATTTAAGTCATGCAGTTTGAAAGATTAGAGATGACAAGCTTAACTACATCTTTTCTATATCTCTCTGATTTTAAATTTCACAAATATGATTTTAATTATTGTTTCTGATATATTATTATATTAGTTTACAAATTTTAAATAACATTTAGTACAAAGAAAGGAAGTAATGTTTTTAAAAGTATTTGGACGCTGAATTCAAAACCATCATCAGAAAAATTCCATTTGATCTAATATTTAAAATGTAGTAGCAATTTTTAAGATATAGCACTTCTTTCCGAATAATTTGGGTCCGATAAATGATGAGCAAGGCGGATCTTTTCATCAAGATTTGATATAAAAATTGAAGCTGGACTCTAACACGTGAAATCAATTTGAAGTCACATAAAAAATAAAAATTAAACACTCAGCACTTATAATTTATTTTCTAATTTTAATAAAACTGCGTTATATGTCAGAAATAAATATTTTTTTTTAATACTTTCTCAAAAATCGGATCTAATGGAAATAATTTGATGACAGATATTTTGATGGCTCAGCATCAAAATTATCCCAGAAAAAGTCTTCACGCTCTTGCAAAAATCTTGTGAACTAATGCTATTACAGTCATTTATTTTAATTATTTTTTGCTTATTTTCAAAATTTACTAAAATCTCACATACAAGACCTTTACAAAAAGATTTCTCGTGTTTTAATAGATTATTATAATATAAAATTATTTCATTCTTAAGACTGAGTGAGGAAGATCACGGTAGAGTGAATTAACCTTTCCAATAATTGATGAAGATTATTTAACATTTTTAATTTGTAAAAAGTGAAAGCTGCGATAAATATTCTAACCCGCATTGGTACGTGTAGCGATCTACCTATCATGACAGGTTTAAGCGTGCGCCGTACTTATCATACATAGTATCTCATGGAAGAAATTTCTATGCATTCTCTGCTTCATAGTTTTCACTTTATAAACAGAAACTCGAGGAATAACTTATCAGGAATATTTTCACGTTGTCACATAAGCAAGAATGATTAACGTCTTGTATGTATTTCAGGACATGTTGAAGAGCAGAGTGCGACGCCAAGATTCATCCTCACAAAGTGGTCAGCTGATAGACAGCATCTTCAACGTAAGTATTATAGTAAGGCTTTTCTATTCAATAAATATGTATACCAGTTAATCAATTAATCAATTATTAAACAAATGGAGAAACGTTAAATAGTAAAATATAAAATCTTTTTATTTTAAAAGCACTTTGATAAATTTTAAAAATGAAGAAAGAAAGAAATATTTGTTGTTAATAAATTAATTTGTTTTAGAGAGAGAGAGAGAGAGAGAGAGAGAAATTATAGAATTTTTGTCTTACAGATTCCAATCACAGCGATTAGACAAACCGCCTCAGCCATCCAAATTATTTCGCCAGGGAACACGCAGAGAATTGACAGTATTGTTAAGGTCATATATGTAAAAAAATTCCTTGCACTTATATTTAAAGTGTGTTTAATTATTTTCTATAATGAACAAAATTATTTACAGATCCCTGTCTCAACTTTACAAGCTGTTGGCACACTCGTAAAAACTACAAGGGAGCAGGGGCAACAAATTCCGGACAATATTCAAGCTCGTCAAGAGAGGAGAGAACGGATCTTGGCTCTAAAGGAACAAAAAAGAAAGCGAAAAGAAGAAATTCAAAATCAGCGATTGCTGCAGCAGCAATTGAAGAGAACTGTTAGGCATCACAAGGACCCACTTGGATTAAACGCATTGAGTGATCTTTTGGTTGGACATCATGTTGGTGGACTTTTAGGGCATCATTCTGGATTGGGTGGAATCCACAGAGGTCATAAAATTGGTCACGGCCTTCACAAACCTCAATTCATTCACCATGGCATTCATGGTAAGTAATGTAAGTATTTGAGAGAGATCCAATAGCGCACATCACTAATTGGCCAATTTAAAATAAAATATTCTTATTAGTAAAGCAATGAAAAATTAAATACTACCAGATACCAGCCTATGTGAGTGAATGTGTGGTATCGGGATGTGTGCTAACGGGATTCTCTCAAGTATGTTCGCTGTTTTCTTCTTCTTTTTCTTCATCTTCTTCTTCTTCTCACGTTAAACCAATGGCCTGTGTTATACTTCTCTCGTATGATTGTGGTGCGCATGTTGATTATTCAATTGCCACAAGCATATGGGACCTACAGTTTTAATGCCGATTCCGAATGGTAGATTTTTCGAATGTTTCTGTGGGCAAGGATACTTTCGGGAGGTTACCGGCCTTTTCCGAGAGGAGATACGAGAAATATTTTGGTTATTCCTACCGAGATCGAACTGTTTTCTTAAAGGAAATAAATATAATATATTATTTCTGAAGCGCTATTGTATGTAATTAGTACTCTTTTTTATATTATCTATATTCTATATAGATAATGTAGATTATATAGATAATATAAATAATAAATAGAATAAATAGATAATATATAGAAAGAACGATTTTATTAAATTATCTAAAAATTAGTTAGATACAAATTTGACAATAATTTTATTAAACTATTAAAATAATTAGGATCCTTAAGCTGGTTGCTGAAGAACGTCAAAATTTTTTGCAACATTTTCATCTTGGTTAAGTGTCCTACATAATTATTATGATGGTCCAACAAAGTTATTTTTATATATGTATATCTAATTAAATTTTTACTTTGGCAAAATCGTTCTTTCCGAGTAGATGTAAATGTTAGGAACATTATAATTATAAATATATATAAACATATTGTTTGCATATTGTTTGTCAAAGATGGACATCTGGGAAATCGTCCGCAACATACCTACGAGGTACATGAGGATATTAATGAAGATACATCTTTCTCTTGGCACGGTTTGACCGCAGGGTTTGGCACTTTTACTGGAATTCGACCTTCTAGTACTTCTATCAAAATCGAAAATAAAGTCGCTCCTAAGGAGAAGATTAAAAATAAACTGGCGCACGGCGAATATGACGATCCGTTGGAAAATAAAATTGCTCCTAGAAATGGAAGAGTAGCATTTGTGCAATAATGATGTAAATACGTAATAATGAAAATATCAGATGTAAACTTATTCTTACGATAGTTACAAATACTCGCCAAATTTACATTGCTCACATTCATTATTTTCTGTACTTATTCTCATTATAAGAATTTAAAAAAAATGTATCTTAGTAAACATATCAAATTAACGTAAGAAATATTTTATATTAGTTAAAATGATAATATATATAATGATCAATATAACATTATGCAAATATAAGTAATTATCTTTTCAAGCTTAAAATATTACGATGTTCTGATATTATAACCGTAAAAGTCTTTATTTTTAACTTTAAGGTTTTTATATGTATTTTATTGATTTAAATTAATAAATTATCACATACGTTAATACTAATTTTCTGTGGGAATTAGATCTTAAGATGATATTTAGTGTGCCTACTGATAAAAACAGATCTTCATTTATTTATCAAAGTAGAGATTGATATAGGGGTTGATATATTGTACAATATGAATGATTGAATTATTTGAAGGATTGGGACGTTATTTTATGAAAATAATGCGTTACCGTTACCATTACTTATTAGATAATAACGATGTCTTATTTTTTTGTACTATTAAGTAAGATAATAAATTTTAAAATTACATTATTTAATATATAATCAATATTAAAACTCTGAACTATAGCATCTATATGACAAACTTTTCTTTATGGAGGATGCGTTTCATATTGCGTTTACACCGTTTGTGAACATCATTTGTCTTTGTTTAATATTTGAACTACAACAAGGCTGAACTGACGCTTACAGCGTGTGAGCGTGATGACAGAATGCACTCTATATTAACACTTTGAAGCATTTCTTTATTTTTTCTTATAAACGATATCAAAATTTTTTCTTATACTACATCAAAGATACAAAAATTGATTCAATTACTTAAAACCAGATATTCGGTCGTTTTTAGGATCGCTGATGACTACTGTAAAATGAAAATAAAAAACTAAAAGTAACAGATCTAATATGGCAAGTCCAATATATGCCAAAAAATTGACTAATTTGTATAAAACGAAAGCAACAGTTCATGATTTTGAATTTGATAATGTTTGGCTTCAGATTTAGATCGGTAGTCCCAAAAACGAATATCAACTTTTGTGTAAATCGGTCTATTTCTTGCAATGTTGTTCCGCCTGTTAAATCAGCTATTTAGATTGTAATTCACAAAAACAAATTTTATTGCGTTAGAAGAAAAGTTCTATGGTATTTTGTTAGCTCAAAATTATATATATAATATCTTGATTAAAAATGATCAAAATTTAAATTTAAAAAAAGGGTTTTAAAACTTGAAATCTCTATTTTCGAATGATTACTGTATTTTTTGAATTTATGTGAGTTTTGTAATTTTTATGAATAGAAAACTACGCGTTGAAGAAAAGGGAAATTTTTCTTCTCACTTTGTAGATCTGTCATGTGCCAAAAAAGATTTACGAAAATTTTCGACTATCTATACCGTGAAAGTTTGGAGTTTTTTTTACTTTTACAAAATTTTTATCTTACAAAATCGTTTTTTAAAAATGTTTCTACGATTTTTTGTTCTTGAGTTATTCGCGAGTTAAGTAAAAAGGAGCATTCTGACTTTGATTGCTCATAACTCCATTAAAAATCATCATCTTAATATCACATTTTTAGGTCAAATGTACATATATTCTATTTTTTTTTAAATTGGCAATTGCACCACTTGATAGAGCAACATTTCAACTTTAAGAATCTGTTTTTATTAATTACGATGATTTTTAATGAAGTTATGAACAATCAAAGTCAGAATGCTTTTTTATTTAATTCGCATGTAACTTGGTAACAAAAAATCGTAGGAATATTTTTTAAAAGCAAACTTTTAGGAAAAACTTTAAGCTTTCAAACATCAGATAGTTAAAAATTTCGCAACAAATATATTCTGTATATAATTTTGAGCTAACAAAATTCCGCAAACTTTTTCTCCAGCCCAATATCAAAAATTCTTATTAATCATTATTAAGAGTGCATCTAATATTCACTACAAGAGTATTAAAAGCCTATACTTCATCTTACATATACATACATATATGATAAACTTTCTATTACTGGCAGTGACTACTTCAATGTACAGCCTAAGATATAAAAACTCTATATAAAATATAAAATATTTTTCAATATTTAAATTTCTATTTAAAGAAAATATTTCTATCAAACAGAAACAACGCGATCTATTGAACAATTATAAAGATAAGCAACTAAAGTAACTGAATCCGTTACTGTAAAAATATAAAAACATTATTGTTAAAAAATATACATAGAAAAAGGCAACAATCGTTATCACAAAAAGTTATAGTAAACTTATAGAACGTTACAAATATAACGCGTTAATTCCCAATCCTAATTATAAATAATTTATTTCTAAATAATTATAAGTAATGATTTATATGTAATATCATAAATGTGTAAAGCTTATCTTCTTTAACAATCGGATGACAGTTTTTATATGAATGCAGCAAAAATAAGCAAAAAACGCTATTATAATTCTACTAATCGCGATTGCAAGAATTTCTTCAAGAGTTTATGAGATAAACGCGAATAAACTTGGATGATATGTACACATAACATAATATATTCGGCGTATATATAGGCATTGATGCAATCTCAAATTTAATTTTGTTTACTGTCGCGACAAAACAATGTCTCATTAAAAATCCTAATTGATATAGCACGACGTAGTATGGAATATACATATACGCAGCATGTAAAATCAATTCTTGACCTTCGAGCACTCACTTTACTTTTTTCGCATCGTAATGCAAGACTTGTATGTTACACGTGTTCACGAATATCATGGATTAAGGACATGCGTAGTTTTTTCCACATTTATTTTATTCTTTGTCTTTTCAAAGGATATAGCATATAAATTTCATATTTCTAAAAATGTAGCAGTTTACTTGAATAAATTTTAATTACTACAACAATGCTACAATGGTATAATATTAAATACGATGTACAAAATGAGTATAAAATTAATGTTATTGTTAAACGCAATTTATTGTAGCACTTTATGTTTTAAATATTCATTTTTTATAAAAATTGTATTAGATGTATAAAAATTTAATATCAAAATCATTAAATCAATTAAATGTTTTAAATTACGACTCAAACTTATTCAAATATCACTCAAACAGTTGATACTTAAACATTTCAAAGTAAATATTGCATTTAATCAAAAGATCAATGCGTACTATTATAAAATACTACGAAGACATTTTTTTATATTTCAATCAATTATTTTATTGATAAAGAGAAAAACTCTGTGTGTATATAATTAAACACACACATTATAAAATTTTAACTGTGCATAAATTGTAAAATTAAGTTAATTTCTTCCAATCAAGGATTCCATCGAACAAAGTTTTATATTAAATTGATTAAGACTTTATTTCTGCTATTTTACTAATATATCATTAGTATTAATTACAGTAGAATAAAGTTGTAACATTCTTATAAAAACTCAAAATTAATTAATAACAGCTTTTATTTTAATACGATTTAATAAATTAAATATTCGCTCAAATTTTGTGTCGTAATAGCAATTCTAATTTCCGACATCATACATATGTCTGCAAACAAAGATAAAGGTATATTTTTTTAGATATAAAAACAAAATGTACACACTATAACAAATTACATTCTTTTTTTATAACTTGCATTCTAACTATATAGAATATTCTTGAATATAAATGATAACAAATAAAGATGTTAAGATAAAATGACCGAAAAAGAACATTCTGGAATAAAACTACTTTTAAAATAAAATCTTTTATTTTAGATGTGTGTGCACAATAACTTCTAAACAAGTTTTTCTTCCAAAAATTTGCATTTATTATTCACTTTTATAAAAACAAACTCATTAAATTACTCATCTTAAACGTTCGCATTAAATTAGTTATCGTAAATGTTTACAGAATAAATTATTTGAACTTTGTACTATTTTTATATTATACTACATGTGAATTCGCAGTTCACCGAACGAATACGGATCTCATCGAGCTTATCCCTTCCAGTGGCAAGTGACTAAGAAATATCCTCCGGTGAGTCTGAGAAATCACTACCTGCGTACAGTCTCATTCCTCCGCCAGTAAACCCGAAGATGTCGTTTGGTGTGGTAGCTAACTGCCTACTTATCATTTTCATAACTCTAGTTAATGGAATGCCACAGAGAGATGATACAGCACAGGAAAAGTCTGAATCAGTGAGTAGAACATTTTTGCCTTGTTACACCATTGTTATCTTTCACAGTGTCCTAATTTTCTTTAATACATGGGAGTTAAATATTTAAGTCTCATCTATTAAAAAAAGTTATTTGTAACATATATCGTTTATATATAATAATATTATCAGTACAAATATTACTATTCATTAGGATAGAGCGTATTACTTATCTTAGATTAGAATAGGAAATTCTAAATTAAGTTTATATCTTATATTGAAGTACTTATAAAGTAAAATCAACTTTGTATAAAAATGAAATGGTATAACAAGATCAAGATAAGATCTGATGCTCACAATTGATTATTATATACAGTACCGGTCAAAATTATATCACCTTTCGATTTTTTGAGCATAACTTTTGTCAAAGTGAATCGAATGCGCTCAAATTTATACAGTAGACATTTGGTGGCAGGTGTACATATCTTGTACGTAAAGTATAATGAGATTTGACAATGTACACCATGATTTTTTAATTTTTTACTAATTTTTCACTTTGACAAAAGTTATGCTCAAAAAATCGAAAGATGATATAATTTTGACCGGTACTGTATGAAAAATTGTATGTATTTCGAAAATGTTAGAGTAACCTAGAGAGTGGAATGAGAAAGGTATTGTTACGCCGCTTCTAGCTACAGATGATGAAATGAGAAACTGAATGTGAGCATATATTCCCTACATCCAGTCAATTACGTAAAATATGCTTGAGCTACTACAAAATGAAATATCACCACAATGAAAAAACGACAAACAATGACGCACAACTCAATCTTCCATTAATATAAGTGTTTTCATGTATTTAGTGCAAAGTAATGACAAATTTGCAAAGTTATATGAGAAATTTTTAGAATAACGCATATCAATACTATATCTTGATTCAACAGACTTATTTAATTACAAGCCTATAATTACGAACATAATCTCGATTCTGCGTAATACCTATCTTAGACGTCACACGAATAATTATTAGACTTACTAAGAAACGCATTGATGCCTTACTTCTGAAGAACTGATTCCATGTAGTCGATTGCTTTGAGAGGAAAAGTTACACCTTAAGTTGGTTAGATAATCAGACTCTCTTGTAGAGAGAAAGGTTTGCGGAAGGTTGTGATAGAAGGTTGCATAAAACATAATTGTTGTGTTGTTTAATTAAAAAAATAAATAGTCTATTGTTAAACAAAAATATTATTCTAAGAAGCTATAAATCAATAACAATTATTTATTAAAGCAAAAAGAATACGTTGATTAAAACTGCTAATAAGAAACCACGGAATATGAGAAACAAAATTACGTTCTTTATTCATAAAATTGAAAGGAAAAAAACCAAGATAAACAAGTTTTAAGTTCATATCGCTAATAAAGGAAGCAATAAAAATAAAGGAAGTACAGAGTTCAAATATAATTATAGTGCTTATCATAAATCTTTAGCATGCTGCAAATGTAAATCTTTTTTGATAATATCACCACAGTCATTAAAAATATTCCATGCTATCTGGAAGTAGTGCGGTATCCGCTTGTCATTATCGTATTCATTGCATATCTTAACATGTCTTGCCTACCTTGGAATAATCTTTAAAACGTCAAAAGCGAACGGTAAATTCGGTTAATGCTCGCTACACGAATTCCAGAGTTAACGCAAAAAAATTTGTACTTAATTTGGAATTCGTATACCATTCCTTTCGAGCCTAGTAGATATTCAACGCGAAAAAAAATAATTGAGGGAAATTGTTGTATCGCGCGCGCGCTCGCGCAACAGTCACGGTCACTAGTTTCGAAATTATCCGGAACGTCTGCAATTAATGAAACTCGCATGCACACTCTTGGAAAGATCCGGCTTTTATATCTTACAGTAGAGAAGAGACAGGATTATAATTGCAATTGCATTATCACCTACAATTTAAATATAGAATAGAGATAACAATGAAGAAATTTATATAAATTAACATAAACTTCTATCTACATAACGTCATGTTTCTCAAAGGCCAAGCGTTTTTAGTTCAATAAGCAAATATAATTTTCCATATTTGCTTGATGTAGCTTCCATTTATTCAATTTACTGATGGAGGAATCCGAGTGAACTTTGGAGGGTATCATGCTGAAGCTGGACTCGGCGGTCTTTTACGAGGTACGGGTGGTGGACTTTTTGCGAGTGCGGGAACTCCATGGGGTGCACATGCTGGCGCGGGATTAGGCGGGAAATTGGGTACAGATGGCAAGCTTGGTTAGTATTAAACGAAAATAAAAAAGATACGTACACTATATTGGTGTCAAAATTTTGTCAAATAAAAATAGTGCAAACTTAAAAAAATCTAGTAAAAAAATGACATTCTGCACCAATCCAATAAGATCTTAGTAATTTCATTAAAAATAGAAGTATATTAAACAAACATTAAATGAGGCCACACAAATACGAGCAAAAATTACTTCAGGCGGTGGTCTTTATGCTCGAGCTGGAGCCAGCCGTGGAGGACCAGAAGCGGCTGCTGGCCTCGGTGGGAAATTGGATGGCAGTGGACGGTCGGTGAACCCGGTTGCGGGTGGCTTGTACGCAGGGGCAACACCAGGCGGTGGTCCAGGTCCGGGCGTGTTTCTCGGCGGTGGTTTTGACCAACCCGGATTTGATGGAATTATAAGTGGCAGCGCAATCGACGAAACTAATTTGAATCCACCTGCGGCTGCTGCGGGAACATCTAACATCCCAGCGAGTGCGGATACGACTGCAAGTGGAAAAAAACCGAAAGGTCGCACAAATATACAAATCATACCTTCGAAGGCGCACAAAGAGAAAGAGGTTTCAATCATGATTTCCTAGCTTATATTTTTATTCTGTAAATAATATGGAATATATCATTCTGATTTTCTAGGTCTCAAATATGATACGTAAACGACAAATTGAGACACGCGTGGAAGAAAATTGACAATCTTCTAACGCATCTTCAGTAGAATAGTCGTAGTTTAGTATCTAATCCTAATAAGTCGTATAAGCAATTTTAAGTTCATATTGGATTCTGGGATACATATTTTAACCGGTCGATCGTCTTTGCATAAATATATTCATGATGAGATATCATCTTTAAACTAAATCTATCGAACGCAGAAGGTGTTACAAGCTGACGCGATGCTACGAGCTGATGCACCCGCAGGTGAGAAAGCCGAGTCGCAAAATAAGGAGGTAAGAAGCAGATTGCATATCGATCAAACATCTTGATTGTCGAATATTTGAAAAAGGAAAGAACAATTTTTCTGAAATATCTAAAAAGAGTTGGTGCATTTTAGGCGATTTGGAGAGCACGCAGAGATTGTTGTATTCACTTTTTTTCTTACTTAATTTTACTTGCTGATTGGCATATCTTAACTGTTATCACAACCAAATGTATTGATGGGCGAAAATTATCATTATTTCCCGTTGTGGCAATATTTTTTCTGCGTAGGAAACTCAAGCATAATGAGCTGCAAAAAATTTGAATATTCTAGCAATCAACTTGAGTGTCCTACATAATTATTTTGATAGTTTATCAAAATTATTTTTAAATCTGTATTTAGATAAAATTTCGGGCACTACAGCAAAATCGTTCTTTCAACAGATTTAAAAATAATTTTGATGAACTATGTCAAAATAATTAGGACACTCAAGGTGATTGCTAGAATATTTAAATTTTATAATTTTAGAGAAATCTTTTTTGCGATATAGACACGACGTGCAGTGCCAGTCGTGGCACCCACGGCAGAAGTGGACTTAGTCAAATCGGTTTACGTTGGAGCAGCGCCAGCAGTGAAAACCGTCGTTCTGGCACCTGCAGCTGCTGCACCCACACAAGGCGCAGGCCAAGCTACTGCCACCGTCGATACAGTTACAACAGTCGGTGAGTAATTATTACTATTCTTCTCTGCACTTGTTCGAATGTCAATCCGTGAGAAATCCTTTCTCTTTCAGATAATCCGAGTGTAGTCATTGCAAAGCCCGCGTATCCACGCTGGTACCTTAGAAAAAGATTCTGGACCCGTCCTAGGAAAACAGTTTATGTTGCTCCAACAGCAACGGCTGATACTCAAAGTTCTCCTTCGGATATAGTCGGCAGACTTTTCGTCAACGCAGTGGGAGACGGTGGCGTAGTTGCTACAGGCAAAACATCTTATACCAGCGGATCTTTCATCGATAGTATTTTTAACGTAAGTCGGTTCTTCTATATTTATGTCTTACGAACATCATGATCTGTATAAAAAATTACGTAGCTTTTAATGAATCAAACCTTATCTTCAGATTCCGATTTCTACATTGTCTGCTGTTAACAACGCTGTTAATCAACTACTGGGAAATAACGTCGTTAAGACCGTTGCTGTGGCTAAGATTTCACCGTAGACCACATTATTAAACACACTTAAATTGTTATTATAATTGACGATTACGTAACATTGTAATTGTCATCGCAATATACACAAACAAAGCCTGAAGATTACAATCCTTCAAATATATTTAGCAACTTCATTTCTCATGTATTCAGCCTCTTTTGACAAGAGATGTTGATCTGCCTGCTTAAGAATGCTATACACATACTATGTCCATCTCCTGGTTCCCTGTACGTGATTAGATTATATCAGCGATCCTGTATATACTACGATATTTCTTTGCCTGCGAATTTAGAAAAGAAGATACATGTACTAATAAAGTTTTATACAGACAAAAAAATTCATGAATTATTTATGATACATTATTTTATTTTATTGCTTTACAGCTTACATTATTTATTCAGAATATATACCATTCGAAATACATACTCCTCTCTCTCTTATTCCTTTATTTAATATGTAGATAGTATACGAAAATATCACGATACACGCTCCAAGAATATTTCAACGCGCTGCCAAGAAAGGAAGAAATATTTCTGATTATTGTTTAGTGTTCATCTTTGTTTAATATTAGCAAACAACAAAGATATATTATGATTCACTGTGTTACACTGTGTCATCTGTCTCTTGCTGAAAAGCACCCAAGGGTACTATTCTTTAATTAACATTCATTTCTCTCTTAACAATAAAGGCCAGGCTGTACATTGCGCTTAAATAAGTTCGGCGCTCATGAGGATTTCTGGAAAATCTGTTTCTGTACTCTCTTTTTGAGATCTTTCTTGAGATCTATTTTATTCGATTTCGAACGAGCAAATATTGTGATTACGAATAACTTTGCTAATAATTATAATTATAATAAGCAGTACTTTAAATAGTTCAAAATTCGAAAGAAAGAAGATAAAATAAGTTTTAGACTTATCAATTATTTTATAACATATACTTTGACTTATATACCTATTAATTACAATTTTAAATAAATCATTTTAATAAATTATATTCTCTCTCTATATGGAACAATCCTCAAAAAATTATAATATCGGATCAAATTGTTGAGTCTGCAACTGACATTAAAGAGTTATCGGTTGTAATACCAATTTCATGTTCCACTATAATAATAATAATGACATCGGATAATCATACAAGATGGACGAATAATTAAAAAAATGAATTAACAACAATTGCATTGATATATGTATAATAAAATGAATATTTTAAATGCTTTGCAAACGGAAAAGGTTGAAATGGCATAAGCTATGAAACCGCCAGAAATTACGCAGTCACTAAAATCCGAATAATGAGACAACTGACAAACACAAACCCAAATTTTAAAATATGACAGGACAGTTTTTGATAAAAAAAAAACGGGAGAGCTGTTACAAATTCTTTAACTAAATGCGAAACGTCAAACACAAACACATGCGAAGAAAAAAAATGTTATAAGATAGCAAGAAGCACCGTCCTGAGGAACTAATTAATGATAAAAGAAAAGTTAGTGGTGAAGAATTACAAGATAAAGAAAAATAATGCGAATGAGTCAGGTATTGAAAAAAATAGATAATAATATATTGAAAAAGAAGTAGAAAGATGACTAACAAAAGAAATATGAAAAACCTAAAACGAAAATTGATAAAAAAAAGACAATAAACAATCGGAAAATAAAGAAGAAATTATATTATAAAATATAAAGAATAGTAATAACTTATTGAAACATAAAGACATAATGATAAAAACAAAAAGTAAAAGGGTCCAGCACTTTAGAAAAAAATTATAGGAAATAAAGCAAAGGAAAACCATACGGTAAAATCAAAGGTAAAGAATGTAAAGGTGAAGAAGGAAAAAAGAAATCAGAAGACAAAGAAGAATACGAAAAATACGAAAAAGTAAAATCACATCTTTTCTTGTTATTTTAGCATTCAGAAAATAAGATGGTAAGTCTGTATTTTTAATTTATTTGTTTAAAGTTGCATACGTTATTAAAGTATGTTATTATGTGCGTCTTTTGAGCTGTTATTTATTAAGTTTGGTTAAGAAATGTTGAAATGATCGTATTTTATATCAAGTCAAGTCGCGGCGGGCAACTGTGCACAAGCGTTTCGAAATTCGTACACTTACCCATTCTTCATATACTATATGACTAGCATTAATTTTTTCGTTTTTCCTTTGCATTATTATTTTACTTTGCCATTTTATTTTGCCAAAGTCTATGTGCATTATTATTATATTAGTTTTATATTTTTGCTTAATATGCATAATATATGTTTAAAATATACTTAATATATATTTATATTACAATATAATAAATATATTTTTTGATTTCTTTATCAACATTCCATAATTCATTCATTTCCTACGACTTTTGCTTTGCGCACAATTACCCAACCCTTGCGCATAATTATCCGACGCGCGAGAAACTTTTTCGCTTTTCCGTTTTTTCCTTTTTGCTAAATACAGCCTTATTGAATGAAAATCTATTCATCTGTTATGAGGATACGTAATGGTAGAAAAATGTTTATAGTTTCTATTTCCATACTTATATCGCTTTGAACTTGGAAAACTATTCCAGGACAATAAATTTCCTTTAGGTGTGCACAATTCATCCACTTTCCCCTATAACAGAGCAAGAAATGTACGTAACGTTTTACTTAATGATTTACTTAATGTACGTAATGTTTTAATTAATGTATGTAATGTTTTTTTGATGTACGTATATTTCATTTGGAATTAAAAAATCTGTTTTATCGGCATCGATCAAGCTCGACCGTTGCTATAGCATCCCCGAAATGAAAAAAATAAGATAGAAGATGTATAAAAAAAGAAGTGATACTAAACTACTAAAGACTTATTAATCGATCAAGAATTGTTGAAAATGAACATCATGGAAAATAAAAACGTTGATAAAGATTTAAATAATACAAATGCGATGTATAAATGATGACAAGAAGAATTTGACGATGATCTCAATAAAAAATGGCAGACAAATTACGTCCTCTAGTCCAACTGTTATTAAGATATGTCAGATAATTATCTTTTTCATTTAAAATAATTGAGTGAGCTTGTCCTTGGTATAATATCATTTTTGTAGTATTATTATAACAATTACTATAATTATCGTAATATTGTCTTTCTTTCAAGTGGCTACACGTGGTCTTACGATGAATAATACGTAAGCTATTTGGACATAGTAGCGATTATGCGTTAAATATGAGTCCAAAGTTTACAGTCGATGTAACAAGTTTTGAAGATTCTGTTACTTTAAAATATTTTTTAAATGACACATTACAATGTTCTAATGTCTAAAACTAAATGCATTCTTATTTTCAATGTAACTTCTCAAATAATCGAACCGAGAAAGTTTATATGGCTATATATCCTCAGTAAAAAATTTTTCATGCACGAAGATATATATATTATATATACACAAATATACAGGATGAATTATTTTAATGGTTCATAAGTATCTTTTTTCCTATGCCTTTTAACAAAAAATGTTTTAGATAGAAATTTTAAGATTTTAAGGGACACATTAGATAGCAGTATTGTGACCTTGGGTGGCGTCGCCAAGATCAGGTCAAGATCACATCGATTTTGTAAATTAGAAACTGCTATCTTTTTTTATTGCATATTCTTGTAGTTTATCTTGAGAGCTCTTCAAAACACGATAACAAAATATTTTTTCATTAAGTACTTTTCGAATTATGACTGTTATGAGACTTGAAAGTTATTTATATATATATAGTTAGATCGGACACCTTGGGTAATGCTAACGTCGACGGCACTGTAACTTACAATACATGCCCCATAATTAAAAAGTACTTAATGAATAAATATTTTATTATATAATGTTTTGAAGAGCTGTCAAGATAAATATAATGATAAGAATATGCAATGAAAAATGGAGGTTTCCATTTAAAAAAGTCGATGTGATTTTGATCTAACCTTGGTGAGACCACTCATGGTGAAACCGGAAAAACCGGTAGATAAATCTTTTTGAGAATGTATGGGCATTTTTACAAATGTGTTAATATTTATATCTTAAGCAAACTCTATATGTAAAAATTGTGTTCAAAACATTCTGTTTTTTTAAACACATTTTTACAGTTTATTTATTTTATTTGTTATTATTTTTATTGTAATAAACTAAAATTTTTTAAATAATAACAAAAATCAAAAATTTTTTATAAGTACTTTAAGTATTCAAAATAACTTATGCAAAGTTTTATTGCGATTGACTGATTAATTACAAAGATATAGAATAAATAAATATTTTGTTTATTTACTGGATAACTAGTTCATGCATCGCAATACAATTTTATATAAATAATTTTGAATACATAATGTACTTACAGACAGGGTTAAGAAGTAACGCGTTACATTTTCGTTACTTTTTTTGGTAACGATTTGATAACGCCGTTTTTTTATTATTAACGAAAAAGTAACGACGTTACATTTTTTTTAGTAACGAGTAACGAAATTGATCCCGTTACTCTTGTATCGTTACTTTTTTATAGGTCACAGCCGTCATAGATAATAAGAATATAGGTACTAAATAAACAATAAATTTTTTGCCTATTTTTATTTCATTCACTATTCTCGCTTTAGAATAAGAACACTAAAAACTAAAACATCTATTATATAATAAAATACCATAAAATTAAACATAAGTATGTAAAATATTAATAAAAGATAAAAATGTTCTAAGATAAATATCTTTCTAAATATCTTATATTTAATTTATATTTTGTCTTAGCATTCTGTCTTAGAAGCCTATTTTAACATTTAAAAATAGTGTAATTATGCAGGAGACAGGCTTATTCATCGATTTTGATGAAATTGCCGTCATTCGACGCGTTTTTGCACGAAATGAATCTGACAGATTTTTTTACCTCAATAGTCATCAACGTTAACCATTAATATCTCGGTTCGCCGGGCAGAGCGACACTTATTTTTTTGCTAGATTCGTTTATTTCGTGTAAAAATAATTTTATCAAAAGTGAGTAAGCCCGTTTCCTGCATAATTACAAAAAGAAGTAACAAAAAGTAACGATTTTTTATCGTTACTTTTAAGTAACGGTAACGCATTGCTTTTTAAGTATCGGTAACGAGTAACGGTAATGAGTTACTTTTTCCCACAAATAACGGTAACGGTAACGCGTTACTTTTAAAAAGTAACTTTCCCAACCTTGTTTATAGATATTAAAAAGTTGAGATTTTTGTCATTTATTTTATATAATACATTTCCATACATTTTTATTAGAGCGCAAATATTAAAAATATACTACTATTTATTAAAATAACTTATGATCCAAATAGTAAACCGGGGGGAGGAAGGG